TTAGATACACTACACGACATTTAAAAAAGTCGAAGGGAAAGACAAGTTTATAATATATTTAAAACAGATGTTTGTGCTTCAATTTAAAAATTCCAAATGCAACCTTTTGACCCAGTGAGTCTACTCTAGAACTCAATCCTGCAGAAATAATTAAACACAGATGAAAAGACTGGGCTCTACCACATTTGTCTCGGCCTGAGTTTTCTGTTTGTTTGGTTTTGTTTTGATACTGACCGCTGAACCCAAGGCCTCCCAGGACTGAGCGCATATTGGACCACTGAGCTCCGCCCTGGCCCTCAGCCTTGCTTAGAATGAAGAATTAGAAACAACCTAAATTTTCCATCATAGAAACAGCTTAAAAACACAATGGAATTCCTCTGTGAAAACAATAATCTACATCAGTATACTTTTTTTGCTGTATGATTGCATTTATCTTTTGAAATAAATTGTATTCTATTCCCCCCTACACCCCCTACCCTCCCTGTGTACAAAAGCTTTGTTTCCGTTTTTCCCTTTTATTTTCCTTTTTTTTCTTGCCCCTTCCTTCCTTTCCCCCTCCCTCCTCCTTTGTTCCCCTTCCCATTTGAACATCTTCCCATTTCCTAATATTTATTATACATATTAGTGTTTATTACCACTTTTGGTTTCTCAGACAAGTTTTAATTTTTTAAATTTTTTTGGTACTGGGGATTGAACTCAGGACCTTGTACTTGTGAGGCAGGTGCAGTGCCACTGAGCTAAATGCCTTGGCCCCTTCACATAATGTTTTTAATTGGAAAACTATCTTGGTCACTTTCTTTGTCATTGGGACAAAAACTTAAAGAAGGTTTATTTTGGGCTCACAGTTTCAGAAGTTTCAGTCCATGGTCAGCTGGCTTCAAGGCATGCAGGGGTGGTGGAAGGGCCTGGCAGAGGAGTGCTGCTCAGGACAGGGCAAACAGGAAGCAGGGAGAGGAGGGAGGAGCCTAGAGGGAGCTGTATCCTCCCAGGCCACGCCCCCAGGGACTGTGACCAACCAGGTCCCACCTCCTAACATCACAGCCAGCAGCAGAACTCCTTACTGGAGGGATCCACAGATGAGTGAGTACCTCATGAGCCAATCACATCCTAGAAGCCAAGCCTCTGAGCACATGAGAGACTTGGGGGACATTATAGATCTAAATCAAACAATTTGTGTCCAGTTTCATCTTTGCTTTGCTGTGCTTTTCTCTTCTTTTCTTGAGATAGGCTCTTGCTGAGTAGTCCAGGCCAACTTTAAGCTCCCTGTGTACTGGAAATCCCTGAGATGTTACCGGAAACCTCTGCAGTAGGCTCCAGTCTCCTGCTCAGTGTACCATGCCAGCTTGAGAGAGAGAGAGAGAGAGAAAAAAAAAAGACAGAACTAAGACAGAAAGTAGGGAGCCCTGGATGACCAATACTGGTGCAACTAATAAAGGCACTGGCCCATCCCCTGATTTTTATTAGCAATCAATTGTGGTAAAGGTGAACTACGTGTAAGGGTGTGCAGTTGTGCAGTTTCTACAGAAACTAATGTAAGCAAGGCTCATAAAGGGCAAGGCAAAGCATTCCCAAATTAGGAACAGAATTGACAAAATGTATGATTGTAATGAGAACATTGTCCTTCTAGTTAAAGTTTTAGTTATGGAAATGGAATTTGAGTTTGAGTTTCTCTGACTTTGGCGCATAGGCTTTGGCCCAACTTGCTTCTCAAAACAAGACAGTTGTGGGGTTAACTCTTCACAAACTGCACTGCTTACAGCCTGCTTTGGACATAATCAATATTGCAGTCCCCTGCACCTTGCAGCCCAGGCTGTGTAGCCTCAAACTCACAATCCTCCTGCTTTAGCCTCCTAAATTGTTATTACAGGCATGTACCACTGTGCAGGGCTTTGTTCTATTTTTATTCTGTTCTCCTGTAATTACTTTGTGGTAGTGGGGATTTAACCCAGGGCCTTCACACTGAACAGTAGACTGTTTTTTTTTTTTTTCTTGGAGACAGCCTCACTAAGTCAATAAATTTCCCAGGCTGGCTTTGGACTTGTGATCCTACTCCCTCAGCCTCCCAGAGTGCTGGGATTACAGGTGTGCAGTACTTATTACACCCAGCTATAAAATCAGGCTTGATGTCAAATGCCTGTAATCCCAGCACTTGGGAAGCTGGGGCAGGAGGATTTCATGCTTGGGGCCAGTCTGGACTACATAACAAGTTTACTGCTGGCTTAGATTACATAATGAGGCCCTGTCCTCAAATAGCACAACCATAAAAGTATTCCAAATGCCATCATTTCTATTAACGACACTATTTTATATGGCTTATTTTCCTCAAACACAATTGATGGAATCACAAATAATTGTGTTAACAGGGGAAGTCTTCTGAAAAGGAATAAGTTGTTCTCCTTTTTGGCCTGGTCCTACTTTCGCATCAGATGCTATGGACTTGGAATGAAAACCCATATAAGCTGGATTCTTGTGAGAACAGTTGATGAGGGCTTTATTTGTGTACTTCATTCTCCCCTAACCTTGGAATCTGTGCTTTTCAGCTTCTTGTCCAGTAATTGTCTGTAAAACATGAAGAATCCACCCCACAGGGATTTTGAGTGTCCGCGGGGACTGGGCTGCAGCTCCGCGGGTGCCTGCCTGGCACAGGTGAGGCCTGGGTTTGGACCCCAGAACTGCAAAGCCGATAGTGTCAGCCGGGCCACTCTGGGTTTGGGACATGGCCCTGTGGCCAGCCAGGGTAACCCCATAGTTGATGAGTGCCCCTCCCACACAGCTCCTGTGAGCATTGGCGCCCTCAGCAAGATCAGCCTGAGCCCCGCCTAGTTGTGGACCCCGCTGTACCTGCCTTCCACTCCCATTTAGCTTTGTGAGCTTGGGGAAATAAATTTTTTCAGGCCTCTGTTTTTCCTGTCTATAAAATGGCCGATACAGTACAGTAGAGAGGGTACGGATTAAATGTGGTATCAGATGCGTAAGGCCAGCACACAGTGAGCTGTCAGCAAGAAGTAACCGCTGAGTGGAGAGGCCGGCCAGGTACTGAAGGTCAGGTTCACACAGCACACACTGGAGGCTTTCTAGGGTGAGTGTTCTAGGTGCCTGGGTTATTTCAGAGAACACAACAGATGAAAATCCTCATGTGGCTTACATCTGCGCAAGAGCAAAGGGTAAATAAGGGAATGTTGGCACATGCCTGTGATCCCAGCACTGGGAGGCTGAGGCAGGAGAGTCACAAGTTTGAGCCAAATGGGGAATCGAGCGAAACTGTCTCTGAAAAAAAGAATAAATAAATAAAAATTAGAAAAGGCTGGAAATGAAGCTTAGTGAAAAGGCCCTGAGTTCAATCTCCAGTACAGGAAAAAAACCAAAAAAAAAAAGTAGTCCAATCCGTGATCACAGATAACAGGAATTTTATTAATTTAGTACTTACTTTGCATAGTCACTGTGCTGAATGATTTTCATGTTTAGCCTTATCTTTTCATGAACTCTATGAGGTTTGTTTGTTTTTGAGACCGAGTCTCAGTTCATAGTCCAGGATGGCCTTGAACTCAACTGTGTAGCCAGGCTGGCTTCAAACAGCAATCGTCCTTCCTCAGCCTCCCGAGTGCTGAGATGATAGGTGTGCACCACCATGCCCCGTGTGAGGTGAGTTTATCGCTATGTGACAGTAGGCAAGTGAGTATCAGACAAGTGACGTAGGTAAGCGGAGGAGCCAGCAGAGGGGCCGGCGTCGGAAGCTCGGCCTGAGGGCTGCACTTGCCTCCCCTGGGAAGTCGAGCTTTCTGCCTTCACGTGAGGCTGTTGTTTTGCTTCTGGTTCTTGATGTTCTTGCCATGGAGTAGGAGATGATCAGAGAAGGGACAAGTGACAGCTCCGCGTAGAATGCGGCCTTGGATTGCTAAGGGTTCGCAGCTGCCTCTCCTCATCATAGAAAAGAGGTCTCCGGGGGCGGAAGTCAGGCTGCAGCCGCCAGAGCTTCTCCAGGGGCCGGCAGAGGCCACCCTGCCCCGAGGTTGAGGGCCGGCCGGCCTGCTGTGAACCCCTCGGGGCATCGCAGCCTCCTTATTTCCTGTCTCCGAGCCTTTGGCAAAGGTGCGGCTTCTGCAGCTCTCAAGTCCCTACCTCCTCTGCTGGGCTCGCGCCCCAAACAGGTGTGGCTGCGTTTTATTTTATTTTATTTTTTGGTATCGGGGGGATTGAACTCAGGTCCTTGTGCTTGTGAGACAGGCGGCGGAACCACTGAGCTAAATCCCCGGCCCCGTCTTAATTAATTACTATTAGGTGCTGCTTCAGGGATTCAGAAGGGTACAAGGAATTACGTTTCACCACTTTGCACATGTGCGTGCACACACGTAGCTGAGCACCCCGTGTGCATCCCAGTTTCACTTTCACTTTCGTCCTCTGTGAAAGGGGCCCAGAGCCCCGCGCTGTCCTGCCTGGAGCGCGGGCTTTACCCAGCTCACTGCCTCCCCATCCCTGCATCACGCGCATGCACGGATAAGGCGCACTCGTGCCATTTCCTGTGCGTCTCGCGTGTGGGAGCTTCTCTAGGGCCTTGTCCAGAGCTACACTTGCTGTGTCAGGGTGCGCCCACTGCTAGGAGATCGCACATGTTAAAATATAACCCCCCTCCCCGCCATTTTATATCTTACTTCCGGGTTCTTCCCCGACTGAGTCCTTTCTCCCGCCGAAATTGTAAAGCGCAAAACTAGAGCTTCTGCAAGCGCGAAATTCAAAAGGCAACCTGGCTTGCCATAGGATAACAAAGACCGCTTCTCCCAAGGAAGGATCTTCCGTTGCCTGCCCTATAAATATCCCAGCACTTCCTCTTTTCTCTCTCTCTCCCTCCCTCCCTCCCTCTCTCTCTCCTCTCTATCTCTCTCCCCTCTCTCTCTCTCTGCCTTCCTGCCTCCCGCTCGCCTCCCTACAATAAAGATCTCCTGCCGGACCTCTCGGTGCATGAGTGGCATAATTGGGCAAGGGGCACCCAAAGGGGGCTCGAGACCCCTTTCACCCCTCCATGGGGCCAAGTTTCTCTCCGCAGGGTTGTACTGGCTGCTGGGCTGCCAGAGAGCTTCCTCTTCTCCCCAACCTCAGTCTGTGTGCTCTTGTCTGACTTTGGAGATTGCCAGTCTGATGAAATGTGAAATAGTGGTTCTAACTGTATGATTCTGATTACTTTTTTTTTTTTTTAACCAGTCCCAGGGATCGAACTCAGAACCTTGTACTTGTAAGGCAGATGCAGCGCCACTGAGCTAAATCTCTGAACCATGATCCCGACTACTAATGACAGTGAGCATCTTTTCACGGTGTGTTGGCCATTTACAGCTCCTGTTTGTTGAAATGTTTCTGTTCTTTGCTTTTTGATGTATTGTTTGTCATTGCTCTTACTGGAAGGAGTTCATTATTTATTCTGGTTACTAATCCTCTAGCAGTCATCTGCAGTGCAGAATCTTCTCCTAGCCTCTTGCTCATCTTTTTTTCTTCGTGGGTTTTTGTTTTGTTTTATTTGTTTTTTGTACCAGGAATTGAACCTTGCGCTTGTGAGGCAGGTGGTGGCACTACTGAGCTAAATCCTTGGCCCTTTGTGGTTTATTTTGATGTACGGGCAAGTTTAATTTTAATGGGGTCAGTTATTTCATGGTCATTTCTTCATTGAGCTTTTAAGTCTAACTTTAAAAATTCATCTTCCATCCCTGAATCATATATTATCCTATATTATATTATAGTTTCTAAGGTTTTTTTTGTTTTGCTTTGTTTTGTTTTTGTACCAGGGGTCAAACTCGGGTTCTTGGGCTTGTGAGGCACACAGCAGAACCACTGAGCTACATCCCCGGCCCATAGTTTCTAAGTTTTAAAAAGTTTTGATTTTTCACATTAAGCAGGTAAGCATCACACATTTTATCAGTTAGCTTTCTGTTGCTGTGACAAAGTACCTGAGGAAAACACCTAAAGAAAGAAAGGTTACTTTGGCTTATGGTTTCAAAGGTTTCAGTCCATGGTCAACTGGCTCCATTACTTTTAGACCCTGGGAATCAGAAACATCATGCTGAACGGGTATGGAGGGAGAAAGCTGCTCACTTCGTGGCAACCAGGAAACTGGGTGGGGTGGGGGGCTCTGCCTGAGGGCTTCTGTCTCCCGCTTCTCTGCAGCCAGGCCCCCAGGCTTTTGGGTGGAGCTGCCCACCTTCAGGGTGGGTCTCTCCTCTGAGTTTGCTATCCCACAGCTGATGGTCTTGGAAACGCTCTCACAGACACACCCAAACAGGTATGTCACTAACTTCCCAGGCATTTCTCAGTGCAATCGAGTTAACAACCGAGCTTAACCACTGCACACATATTGTGCAAAATAGAAATGTAGTTAAGCTCCCTCTGTGCCTCTCTTGCATTTTAAAATTTATTCTGTGATCTAAGGTATGAATCCATTTTTCTTTTCTTAGCAAATATAATTGATTGACCTACTACCTTATTGTATAATCTATTCTGTGTCCACTGATTTGTCATGTCCTTCCTATGCACGCTTCCATCCAGCTTGGAGTCTGTTTGGGACCCCTTTGGCTGATTGATCTAGTTTATCTATTCCTGGGCTAATATCATACAGTGTCCATACTATGTATTATCATAAGTCTCGATATCCCATAGGGAGAAGTGGCCTATCTTATTTTTCTTTTTCCAGAATTATTTTCTGGTGTTCTTAATTCTTTGTTCTTCCATAACGACTTTAGAATCACCTTATAAAGTATATTGAAAAGCAAAATACTTGGTCTTGAGTACTTCCCCAGGTTCATCTACACCACCATGCCTCAGTTTGCATTGGATGTTGTGATACTGTCTGTTATGGCTTGGATCTGAAATGTCCCCCCAAACCCTCACGTCTGGTGGTAGGTGTCAGAAGGGATGGGTCACTGGAGGCATGAACTAGAAGGGTGGATTCTTGTCCCCAGCTCCTTCCTTCTCTCTGTTTCCCGGATGCCATGCAGTGATCAGATTCTCTCCACCATGTTGTTCTTCTATATTATTCTTGCCTTGTAGCCAGCCACGGACTGAACCCACTGAAACTGTGACCCACACTAAACCTCTGCTCCTTTAATTTGCAGATGTCAGTTATTGTGTCCCATCAATGAGAAGCTGACTAATGCACAGGAGAGGTTTATTTTGGCTCACAGTTTAGGAGGATCCAGTCCATGGTAGGCTGACTCTTAAGTTAGGAACACCCAGGCAGAGGAGCCTGGTGGAGGAAAACTGTTCAATGTAGGTCAGCCTAGAAGCTGAGCAAGAAGGGGAGGATCCAGGGAGGAGAAAACACCCTTCCAGCTCATACCCCAAGTGACTCCTCTTCCTACCAGGCCTCAAAGCCAAAGACTTCTGGGGGACATTTCAAATCTAAACCATAATGCTCTCCTTCCTGATTTACTCTCACAACAGTTTGTGATTCCTATATTCACAGGTCATTTTGTAGAGATTGCTTTTTCCTTAAAATTATAATGAAAAACAAATAACTTAAAATTGGCCATTTTAGTCACTTTTGTGTATAACTCAGCAGCAGTAATTACATTCATGCTGTTTTGTAGCCCGTTACTATGAGGACAGAACTTTAAGTCCGTTAGCCAGAGTTAGTAAATCTTTGTGGCTGAATCAAATCCACTGTGTGTCATGAGCATGTTTTGTTTCCCCATTCATCCAGTGTTGGGCATTTGGGTCACTGCCATCTTGAGCTGTTATCAGTAACACTGCTGGGGGCCAGGGATTTAGCTCAGTGGGTTCTGCTGCCTGCCATGCAAGCACAAGGACCCGAGTTCAATCCCGGTACCAACATACAATAATATAAAATAAACGCTGCTGGGAACACTGACAGGTGAGTATCGAAGTCTCTATTTTCAGTTCCTTATTTTCAGTTGTGACTATTCACCCTCAGTGGCATTCTTGGCTCACATGGTGTTTCTGTGTTTAATTTCTTGAGCACCTGCCCAGCTTTTTCCGCAGTGGCAGGGCCAGTTTAGACTCCCAGTTTCTCCAGCCTCCCCAACGTTATCTTCCTTAACACAAAGCGACAACAAACCAAACATTGTAGCAGACGGGAAGTGGAATCTCACCGAGGTTCTGGTTTGCATTTCCTCGATGGCCAATGGTGTCACGCACCCTTCCAGGCGCTTCTTGCCCATTTATGAGTCTCCTTGGAGAAGCGTCTGTTCCAATGCTCCTCCCGGTTCCTTCCCCTTTATTATTTTTCAGAGCACTTTGAAGTTCACAGGAAAACTGAGCAGAAAGTACAGGGAGCTTCTACTCGGGACGCACCCCCGCCGTCAGCACTGTCTGAGTGACAGACCCACACCGGTGCATCCGTTCTCCTTGCAGTGCATGGTTTTATGCGGGCTTCTTCCTTGGAGTTGTTCCATGGGTTTTCAAAAATGCATAAGGACATGTATCATGGTAGCATAGTAGCACAGAGTGTAGTTTTCTGACTTAGAAATCCTCTGCACTCCTCTCACTTTGCCTGTTTTAAATTGGCCTGGTGGTTTTTGTGTTGTGAGTGTTCTTTGCATAGCCTGGCTGTTGGATTCTTATTGCATATGATTTACAAATACTTTTTCCCATTCTGTGGCTTATCTTTTTCTGTTCTTGTTAGGCTTTTGCTGTGCAAAATGTTCATTTTTGTTCCTTATTTTCAGTTGTGACTATTCACCCTCAGTGGCATTCTTGGCTCACATGGTGTTTCTGTGTTTAATTTCTTGAGCACCTGCCCAGCTTTTTCCGCAGTGGCAGGGCCAGTTTAGACTCCCAGTTTCTCCAGCCTCCCCAACGTTATCTTCCTTAACACAAAGCGACAACAAACCAAACATTGTAGCAGACGGGAAGTGGAATCTCACCGAGGTTCTGGTTTGCATTTCCTCGATGGCCAATGGTGTCACGCACCCTTCCAGGCGCTTCTTGCCCATTTATGAGTCTCCTTGGAGAAGCGTCTGTTCCAATGCTCCTCCCGGTTCCTTCCCCTTTATTATTTTTCAGAGCACTTTGAAGTTCACAGGAAAACTGAGCAGAAAGTACAGGGAGCTTCTACTCGGGACGCACCCCCGCCGTCAGCACTGTCTGAGTGACAGACCCACACCGGTGCATCCGTTCTCCTTGCAGTGCATGGTTTTATGCGGGCTTCTTCCTTGGAGTTGTTCCATGGGTTTTCAAAAATGCATAAGGACATGTATCATGGTAGCATAGTAGCACAGAGTGTAGTTTTCTGACTTAGAAATCCTCTGCACTCCTCTCACTTTGCCTGTTTTAAATTGGCCTGGTGGTTTTTGTGTTGTGAGTGTTCTTTGCATAGCCTGGCTGTTGGATTCTTATTGCATATGATTTACAAATACTTTTTCCCATTCTGTGGCTTATCTTTTTCTGTTCTTGTTAGGCTTTTGCTGTGCAAAAGTTGTTCATTTTCATGAAGTCTGGATTATCTGGGTTTTTTTTCCTTGCCTGTGCTTTTAGCGTCGTACTTAAGAAACCATCACCTAACCCAAGCTCATGCAAATTTGCTCCTGTGTTTTCTCCTAAGAATTTTGCTTGTTTGGTGGTTGTTTGTTTTGTTTTTTGAGACAGGGTCTCGCTTTGTAGTTTAAGCTGAACTTGAACCCACTATGTAGCCCAGGCTGGCTTTGAATTTGCAGTGATCCACCTGCCTCAGCCTCCTGAGTGCTGGGATTACAGGTGTGTGCCACTATGCCCAGCTTTGTTCTATGAATTTTATAAGTCCAGCTCTTGCTGGGCATGGTGGTATGTACCCTGTAATTCCAACACAAGAGAGGCCAAGGCAGGAGGATCCTGAAATCAAGGCCAGTCTTGGCTATATAGTGAGATCTTAGCAAAAATAAAATTCAGTTCTTAACACAAGGCCCGTGATCAACCTTGAGTTAATTTTTATATATGAAGAAAGACCCAACTTTCTTATTTTGCAAGTGGATATCCAGTTTCTCCATGAAGTGGTTTGGACACCTTTGTCAAAATCACTTCTCTGTCGATGGGGAGGGTGGTATTCTGGACTCTAAATTTCATTCTATTGGTCTGAGTATCTGTTCTTGTGCAACTATCTCAGTTTTGATCACCGTGATTCTATAAGTTTGACCTCAGAAAGTTTGCATCTTAACAATTTTATTCTTTTTCAAGATTATGATGGCCATTCTAGGCCATCTAGGTTCCCTGGAGTTATAGAATTTAGGGTGAGCTTTTCCATTTCTACAGTGATGCCCTGGGGTTCTGATAGCGGTTGCTTTGAATCTCTGATTTGGACTGTTGTCATAACGTTTGAAAGCTTCCTGTCCAT